AAAAAAAAAAAAAAAAAAAAAATGGGTTAATATTGGGAAATGTATTCACATGTATTTTATTAATGTCTTGCAAAATCTCATTATCATCATCTCAGTAAATGCTTAAAAGCCCTTTAATAAAACAGCACTCATGCTTAATTCACAAGTTTGTAGAAAACTGTCAGTGAGCAATAAGATGGTTATTATTAGATGTATTTTAGATGTTTGAGCCATGTCAGTAAAACTGGGTTAGTCCTGAAAGCTGGGTGTAAAATGCTCTATTCATAGGAAATCCAAGAGAATCAGCTGAACAATGACTTTGATATGTTAAGCAAAGAATAAATGTGTGATGTCTTTTGTATAATAAGGATAGGGGTGATTAATGGGTCTATTTCTAATAGCAATAGAAGTACGAAATATTCTGAGGTACCCTTAAAAATAAGTGTCTGGAATCTGTGCTAGATAAACTAAAAATAATATACTCAGGAATTAAAATGAAAATGTAGCTGGGAACAGTGTTAAGTGCCTGTAGTCCCAAGCTGAGAGGTAGAAGGATTACTTTAGTGCAGATGTTTGGGTCTAGTCTGGGCAATGTCATAAGACCCTGTCTTCCTGTCTCTTAAAAACAAATTTTTATTTTAAAAAATAAGTAAATATGAGACATCACACATTTTCAGACAAGAAGAGAGGAGTGAGGGTTATAAGAACATCACCTGCTTCTAAAATTATTTCTCCCCTGGGAATCCCAGTGCCCCATCTCTGTGGTTAGAATTGAAGTAATTTGGATTTGTCTGTTGGTAGGAGGAGGAGGAAGAGCAGCCTCAGCCAGCGCAGCCTCCCACCCTGCCTGTGGAGGAGAAGAAGAAGATTCCAGATCCAGATAGTGACGATGTCTCTGAGGTGGACGCACGGCATATCATTGAGTAAGGGTTTCCAACATGCCCTCTTCTGCCATCCTCCTGTGAGGAGGCCCTGGGAGAGTGGCCAGAAGCCTGGCCTGTGCCTAGATGGCATTTACCACTGTCTCGCCAACAGCCACTGTGGGATCACACACAAACTAATTTTATTTGCTTCACATTTCATTTACTTTTATAGGCATTTAATATAGGCAGTGCACTCCCATAGCTCATCAAATACTTACAAGGTACCTTGAGTGGAAGATGAAAAGAACTTTCCATGCCTTTCTCCTTGTACCCCAGCTCCCCCCTCTCTGTCGTGTTTCTCCTTGGAGGAAGCTCTCCAGCATCATGTGTCATCTTCCAGAGATATTCTCTAACAAGCAAAACATGTTTTTTTCTTGTTTGCACGCATACATCTGGGGCATACTGTTGTGTATCTTACTTTTCCTTTTTTTCTTATTTTTGAGACAGAGTCCCACTCTGTCACCCTGGGTAGAGTGATGTAGTGTCATGGCACACAACAACCTCAAACTTTTGGGCTCACGAGATCCTCTTGACTCAGTCTCCCAAGAAGCTGGGACCATAGATGCCTGCCACCATGCCTGGCTAATTTTTCTATTTTTAGTAGAGATGTGGTCTTGCTCTTATTTAGGCTAGTCTCAGACTCCTGAGCTCAAGCAGTCAAACTGCCTCAGCATCCCAGAGTGCTAGGATTACAGGAGTGAGCCACTGTACCTGGCCCATCTTGCTATTTTCATTGAACCGTCTCTTAGAGGCAATCTGATCCTGTGCCCATACACAGAGAGCATCCTCACTGTGCCCCACAGCTGGCAGCATTGTCTTGACTTTACACTTTATGTTCTCCTTTACATATAGCCTGTCCCTTAATGGGCATTTAGGTTATTTCTCATCTTGATCTTATAAATCCATTACGTTTAACCCACAAATTGCACCATTGCTAGTGGTAAGGAATTAAAGGGTATTGTTTGAAAGATAGAGAGGACTGAAGGTTTTACATGCCCTTTAGATACATAAGCAGCCAAAAATAGGATGTGTTGAAATCAATAGAATAAAATACACAGGGGGGGAAAAGCCCCACTAAGCTAAGGAAACACAGAGCCTACTGTGAACGATTTATGATAACATACAAAAAGCAGCTGGACACAGTGACTCACCTTTGTGGAAGGTTGAGGCAAGGAGGATTGCTTGAGGACAGGAATTAGACACCAGCCTACGCAGCATAGCAAGACCCCATCACTACAAAAAACTTTAGAAATTACTTAGGCAATATATGCACCTGGAGTCTCATTTACTCAGGAGTCAGAGGTACATTGAGGCCACCAGTTCAGTATTGTAGTGAGCTCTGATGACACCACTGTACTCTAGCTTGAGTAACAGAGGGAGACTCTGTCTCTTTTTTTTTTTGTAGAGACAGAATCTCACTTTATCGCCCTTAGTAGAGTGCTGTGGTGTCACACAGCTCACAGCAACCTCCAACTCCTGGACTTAGACAATTCTCTAGCCTCAGCCTCCCGAATAGCTGGGACTACAGGCGCCCACCATAATGCCTGGCTGTTTTTTTGTTGTAGTTTGGCTGGGGCTGGGTTTGAACCCGCCACCCTCAGTATATGGGACTGGCACCCTACCCACTGAGCCACAGGTGCCGCCTGAGACTCTGGGTCTCTTTAAACAAACAGAAAGCAAGTGTAAGATAAAATGAAAGAAATTAGATCATACATACTGAAGTCTCTTTTTAAAGGAAAGTTAGCACTAGGTCACAAGTCACTAAAGCATAAGTGATGGTGGTTTTGTGTGAAGGTGCGTTTATTCTCCCTTTAGGCTCATGAACTCTTAGTAGAAAGGGTGGGTCATTTCAGCCTCTGGCTAGAAGCAATATCTCTTTATATGCTGTGACAAATGACAGCATTCCTGTTGTGTGGCCTTAGACTATCTGGCTGCCCTGCTGGGGATGTTATAGCTCTGGCCACAGGTCACTAGGTAGAAAGGGTTTCTCCATAGATCTTGTGTCAGGAGCATGGTGTCACAAACAGGAATGTGTGTCCTTACCTGGTGCTTCCATCTTACTCTCAGGAATGCTAAGCAAGATGTTGATGATGAGTATGGTGTGTCCCAGGCCCTTGCGCGTGGCCTTCAGTCATACTACGCTGTGGCCCATGCTGTCACTGAGAGAGTAGACAAGCAGTCGGCGCTTATGGTCAACGGTGTTCTTAAACAGTACCAGGTGAGGCAGGGGGAGGCAGGGAGGCCAGTGCCGCATGGAAGCCTTGATGGAGTTGTTCCCGGGTTTGTGGGGTAGTGGGAAGCAGTGAACTTTGGCAAACCTGAGTTCACATTCTACTCTTTGTCTTTGGACAACTTGCTCTTCGCCTCTGAGCCTCAATTTCCTCATCTTTAAAGTGGAGACATGATCTGGTAGATTCATTGCCAGAGGAGTGAAGTTATAGTTGTGCAGTGTGAGACAGGGAGGTTGGAAACTGGTGGCAGGTTCTCCATGAGAGTGAGGTGATGATGGCTTTGAAGCTCTTCACAGAGCCTGGCTTGGAAGAGTCATGAATTCTAGCTATTTACAAGAGAAGTTCCTTTGTTCTGTAGCCCCACATCTCAACTTCATCTATAAGTTCCCAGAAGGCAAGTGGTATAACTCTAACCAAAGAACATGACGCCTTGATTTCCACTGGGTTGCAACCCATTTCCCTTCCTTTTTTTTTTTTTTTTTTTTTTTGAGACAGAGTCTTACTGTGTCACCCTCAGTAGAGTGCTATGGCATCACACAGCTCACAGCACCTTAAACTCTTGGGCTTACGCGATTCTCTTGCCTCAGCCTCCCATGTAGCTGGGACTATAGGCGCCCACCACAATGCATGGCTATTTTGTGTTGCAGTTGTCATTGTTGTTTAGCAGGCTCGGGCCAGGTTTGAACCTGCCACCCTTGGTGCATGTGGCTGGTGCCTTAACCACTGTGCTATGAGTGCCAGGCCTTCCCTTCCTTTCTTAATTGAACTCTCAAAGCTTCTATGTCAATATCAGTTTCTAAATAGGCAAATTCTATGGCCAGTAGAACCTCCTAAAGGTTAGCGTAATGAAAAGAATTAGAACTTGGCCATTATTTCCTTAGTCTTTTATGAAAATTTCCAAATTTTCCATTATAACATTGCATTCAATTTGAAAGCTGTCTTTTCTTTACTGCCTGTATTTCAAAAAGCTCCCAACCTTTGGAAAGCCCTCCCTTAATCGTGATATGATTCTTTGGCAATGGATTGATCACTAAGCCCTAATGGTCTCCCAAACCCAAGTGTCTCATGGTGTGAGCAGGTTTCTCCAGGTGTGCAGGTTTGTGTCTGGCAATGACAGGAAGCCACAAGTTCAGCATTGCAGTGAGCTGTGATGACACCACTGCACTCTAGCCTGTACAACAGAGGGAGAAAAAACAAACAGAAAGCAAGCATAATAACAAATATTATTAAAACAAAATAACAAAAATTAACTGTTCAAATGCACACCAATGAAATTTTATATACGGACATAATCACAGCTGCTCTGTGATTTCTCAGACATTATTGCTAAGGATGAGGCTACATCAAAAAGGATCAGGTTGGTTCAGAGCCACATACTCGGTAACCATGGCCTCCTGTGGGATATGGCTTAGGCGCAACTTGTGCATAACGGTGACTAAGTCTCTGAAGCATGAGGAATGCTCTGGAGTCCAGCCTGGGCTTCAGTACTGGCATGGCTGCTTGTGTCTTTGCAGATCAAAGGCTTGGAGTGGCTAGTGTCCCTGTACAACAACAACCTAAATGGAATCCTGGCAGACGAGATGGGCCTGGGCAAGACTATCCAGACCATTGCACTCATCACATACCTCATGGAGCACAAGCGTATCAACGGGCCTTTCCTTATCATCGTACCTCTCTCGTGAGTGCACACACCTCCAGGGGTAGGGGTTTCCTGTAGGAAGGCCCTGCTGCCTGGCTCCAGCAGTGCTGCAGACATCTTTATTTTAATTTGCAGTTTAGTACTATGTTTTGGTAGCTTAAACAAATGGTTCCCAACCTTTTTGGCACCAGGAACTGTTTTCATGGAAGAATTTTTTCACAAACCAGAGTGTGGGGACTGGGGATGGTTTCAGGATGATTCAGACACATACATCTACGCTGTAGATCATGAGATTCTCATTAGGAGTGCACAACCTCGACCTCTCATGTGTTCACTTTACAGTAGGGTTTGTGTCCCTATGGGGATCTAATGCCCTGCCCATCTGACAGCAGAAGGAGCTCAGTGATTTGAGCCATAAGGATTGTCTATAAATACAGATGAGGCTTTGCTTGCTCACCTGCTACTCATTAGGCCATGGGCTGATATCAGTGGTTGGGGACCTCAGGCTTAAACAATACAAGTTTATTTTCCTGGAGGTCAGAAGTCTGAGATCAAGGTGTGGGCAGAGTTCTGGGGCTTCTTGCATTGGCTTGCAAATGGCTATCTCCTGCCTGTGTCCTCACATGGGATGTCCCTCTATGTGTTTCTGTATCAGATTGGATCAGGGCCTGTTTGAATGGCCTCATTTTAACTTCATTACCTCTGTAAGGGCCTGGTGTCTCCAAATATAGTCAATTTCTGAGATAGTGGGTGTTAGGAAGGCAACTTGGACTTGGGCAGACTGGAAAGGAGCGCACAACTTGGCCTGTTGGTCTGCATGTGACTTCAGCATAAGGGGTTACGGATGGTTGGGTTTTTTTGTTTGTTTGTTTGTTTTTTGGCTGGGGCTGGGTTTGAACCTGCCACCTCTG